TAAGTTTCTGTTCGTAAAATTCTATTAATTTAAAAAAAATTTTTAGTTAGAACAAAATTTTGTGATAGAAATGAATTTTAGTTGATTTTTGGAAAATTTTAGTTAAATTTTAAATGATTTCATTAAAAAATTCGTAATAAATTTAATTTTCATTATAAAAGGCTTAATTTAAAGTCTAAATAGATTATTGGTGTTTTGACATTATTCTATTTTTTATTATAAGAAATATTTGCGGTATTCCAGCATATTTAGGAAATTCTTAGAAAATATTGAATGAAGAAATTTTAAAAAATTAATTGCAAACTAAATTTTATTATTATTGTGTATAAAAAGAGAAAAACAGTTTTGAAGAATCAAGGATTATTAGATATTCTGCTTCGTATTGTATAGAATGATTGTAGAGGCTGTGCTTTTTCTTTTGTTTATGTGGAACTTTGAAAGGATTAAGAATCGAATGAACACTCCGAAATGCATTCATATTAAACGTATTTTATCATTAGTATATTCCTGAAAATCATCATTGTTTCAATACGAAATTGTTTTCAGGAATTAGTGTTTTTTTTTTCGCCTTAGTCGGCATTTTAATGAGAAATATTATCGCACATTGAGCCTAATTTAGGCCATGTCTAACACATTCTTTTAAGATTCGAATTTGTCCAAAAAAAGTTCATTCTAAAAAAGTTTATTTCGACTTCCAAAGAAATTGTGTATCGTTAAGTACCTTATGTGTTCCCTTTCTTTTAAAATGATGTCATTCGGTGTAGCCACCACTTCGCTTTTTGATATGAAAATATGAATATTATTATTTCAGACAGGACGTGATTTCAAAACGTACTATACGACGATATGAACCATCGATGTAGTTTGATTAAAAAAAATTGGTCACAAGCTGGTTACAAAAAGTGAGTTTGTTGATTGATTATGCTATTGTAAATTTCCTGATTAACAATTTATTGTAAGTCTACATGAAGGCACTAATATTGAAGGTGATAAGCACACAAAATTTAATACATCTGAAGAGTACATTGTTCGCATATTTCGTAACGTACGACACATACAGCATTCCTTGACAAATTGCAAAACTTGCACGTCTAAGTTATGGTTTCATTGTCATGTTCCTTGGACAATTCGATTAAAATTTAATATTTTGCGCTATTTTTTATAATTTCTAAATTTTGGAATGGTTATGAGTATTTGAGTATTTGAGTATTAAATATGTTTTGGTTAAAAACCGAATTGCGAACTTGTGATAATTGAAATCTTACCCTTTATAAAAGCCTTCAAAAACAGACTAAAATCAATCAAATATTTATGATTTTTAGCTTATGATTATAGGAAAGCTTTTATAAAGGAAACGTATACAATGCGTGTATACAGAATAATAAATGATGTTTTTTATATTCCGGAGAATTTCGTAAGAAAAGCAAAAATGATAAAAAATATTTTTATCCTTTAATATTTATTCTTCGATTTTGTCATTATACTTGTCAATTTTTTCATTTTGTTTTTCTTCTTTTTTTATTTTCTTAATATCAGCATTTTCATTCAGTAAATTTTTATTGATTGATTGTCATTGTTAATAAAAATGTGAAGAGTAATACTGATATAAAATTAGGATAAGATTTCCTGACATTATAGTCTTCTTGTACACATTAATAGAAGATTATGATGTAGTCAACAGACTATAATATTTACTTCTTTTTTAGCACTTTTCCAAAAAATTTTTTGAAAAAAGTGCTTATTAGTTTCACTCTGTCCGTCCGTCCGTCCGTCCGTCCGTCCGTCCGTGGACACTTTTTTTGTTTACAAAACTTCTACACCTTTGAAGATAGAAAGCTGAAATTTAATACGTACATAGATCTTCACTAGAAACTTATTTCCGTAGAACAAAATTTTTACCTATCTCCCCCCCTCTAGAAGTTATACCCCCCCAAAACCCTAAAAATGGCCTTTTTTAAATATTTGTTGCAATGAAACCATAAGCATTGAACTGTAGAAGCTTGAAATTTTAGGGCCTTTTAGATATTAATAAGTAGTTCATTTTGTTAGAAGAAAATTTTTTTCCATCTCCACCCCCTCTCAAGTTATCACCTCTTGAAATTCGTAAAATTTGAATTTTTGACACCTTATATTTCCGAAACCGCAAGCTTTTCCAAATTTTTATAAACGCAAAAAGCTAACGGTAAATTCCGTGAAATTAAAAAATATAATTATTTTTCTTAACTCACACAATTAACCCTTAAAATCGAGCATTATGTTAACCCCTTTTTATATTAATTTTTGCTTTATTTCAAAGACTGCATGTATGCGTCATCCTAAATATATGCAATCCTAGAAATAGTTTTGTATATGAATGAAAATAATTTTAATAGTGTGATAGCTATACATAGACTGTATTTAAAAGCAGAATTTTCACTTGTTGAAGGGAAAAGTGCTACAATACAAACCATTGGTTTGTCCCAACTTTATTGTTTATTTTTTTTGTACAGAAAGATAAGATGATTTAATAAAAAACAGTGAAAATAATAATGATGACTTTTTTTGTGCAGATATAGATTTCATTGAAACATTTCAAAATTAAAAATTGAAATTTTACTTAAGAAATAAATAGAAAGTTGACAACCGCACCAAGGGGAAATTAAAAGAAAATGATTTTTCATTTTTATTCATTAAGAAAAAAAAGGAAAAATTAAAGAAAAAACCGCAAAATATTTAGAACAAAAAATCATTGATCTATTTCGGAAAACTTTAATAAAAAATCTTTTTTTCATTTGAGAACAAATTGCGTTTGTGCATTTGAATGAGAAATCCTTTAGGGAAGATTTTTTAAATAGAAAAGACTTTCATACAACATCAAATCTAGGTATGTACATATGAAGAACAATTATACATAAAATATATGTATAAAACCCTGATTACTAAATATTTCAATTTTAATAGAAAATTTATACTTGTTTATGACAAGCCATTTGCAAGAAAATTTTCAAAAATATCATTTTATTTTAGCGCAATATCATAATTAAAATAAGGATGACTGTAGCAAATATAAAAATGTGAAGTACTTTCTACAGAATTGAATAGTGCAATATAATTGAAAAATATTAGATATTTTTTAATTGTAATTTAATTGTGTACAATTGAATAATATTAAAATGAAGTCCTGAAAATAAAATATTTTTAATATATTTTAATTTACTTAAAAAAGCCTGGTTGTAAAATTTTAAGAAAGATTGGCCAAGTTCTTGTATGCTGAATTAAGGAAACTTGGGGCTATTTAGAGGAAATTAGACGCAGAATTGAAGATTTGCTAGAGCGATGTTTTTTAAATACAAAAAAATGCTTTGAAACCATGACCTTAATTTAGCACTAAAATGTTAGCATAGAATATTACATATGGTCAGTATTGTTATATGCAGTTGAAGTATGGACTTTGAAAGTATATAACCACATCTCGAAAGCTTCTTTTCTTTGTACATACTTTCTTTGGTATAACCAAATAGAATTTTTTGGTAAAACCACATCTCGAAAGAAGCTTTCGAATTCTAAAAATTCCTTGGACAGATAAAGTGCCTAATGTTGAAGTGCTGAGGAGAGTGTATAAAAACCGTGAATTACTTACCACCATCAAACGCCGAAAAACAGAATACTTGGGGCATATTATGAGAAATGCGAAGTATCACTATTTACAACTCATAATATAAAGTAAAATAAAGGGAAAAAGAGGAATATGTAGAAAACAAGTATAATGACTCAAAAACGGGCTTAAGAAATTTAACAGTTTTGATAACATCAGCAGTTGAATTACGTTTAAATAAATAGTAAACATTATTTTATAAATCAAGAAAGTCAAGTAAATCACCAACATTCGAAATCGAATAGGCAAAAGATTAAGAAGATGAAGAAAATGCATAGAAAATGTTTTCGTTGATTGGCATGAATTACACACTTTTTCAATTCTATTTTTACAGGAATCCAAAAGTATATTAGAAAAAAGTTTTATTTTAAAAAATCTCTAAAAAGTTCAAAAATTCAAAACTATGAGTATTCACCAGGCGGGATTCTCTTGTAAATACAAATCAGGACGATACAATTTTAATATAAATTACTTACACAATTTAATTTTTAACGAAATCGAAAAAACGAGGCATAAATTTTCATGTTCTAATAAAATCTTCCAAAATAATAATAAATGTTAACTGTTATACATTCTTGAATCTTATTTGCATTATTTCAAATATCTTATCTCTTAAGCTAGAAAATTTGTAAAATGTCAGGATTAAAAATAAATTTTTCTAATGATCCTCTTCCTTGCAAATTTTTTTTTGTTCTAATCATTAATTGCTTTATAATTTATGTATTTTTTGTCCTTTTCATTAATAATACTTCGATGTACAATATTTAAATACTCCAATAAAATTTTGCTTGCGAAAAAAAAAAAGAAAAATCCTTTCTTTTGGCAAGGATAATAAAAAACACATTTTCATTTCATTGATTTTTCTTTTGATTTTTAAATGATGATTTCCTTTTTTATCAAGAATAAAATTAAAATTTTGAACAAAAAAAAAATTAAGAAATAATATTAAAATAAAAGGATAACAATAATTAATCAATATTTTAAGGATCTTGAGCATAAAAATGAATACAAAAAAGAATAAAAATCACAAAATACAAAAAAAAAAACAAAAAATCGATTGATGAACGAATTTAAGCTCAAAATCAATAAAGTTGTATGGGTAATTTTTTTTTATGGTTCAAATTAAAAAATTTCATCGTTTCTGGTTTTTCGCATTGTTGTATTGTTGAAAAAAATTTTTTTTTTCACTTCTTTTTCTTATTTTTTTGCGTTTAGTTTAATTTTTTAATGTAAGCTTTAAAAAAATTTTATAACTTTTTTTTTTTGTTATTTTTTTTTGTTTAGTGGTCGTTATGCATTTATTTTGTTTTTGATTTTTTTTTTTTTGTAATTTTTCTTTCATAAAAATTTCCAGCAAAGTTCTTACCGAGACCTGAGTAGCTGTGTATGAATTCGATCGAGGCCGATTACTAAAGAACATATTACGCCATTTTCGTTTCACCTGAGCGACAACTTCACCATTACAAAAGCAAAATAATATCGCAACACAAAGGCCCTGCAATGAGAAAAAAGAAAATTGTAAAATAAGAGATAAATTAAAAAAACAACAAAATTTACTTATACAAAAGAATAATAATTGCTATTATTGTTGGTGTTTATTAAGTAATAAACATCCTTTCAGAAAATTCTGTAAAATACAATAAAGCGATAAAAGAGGAAAAGAATAAAAGTTAAATAAAATTTTTTATTATTAATTATTTTTTATGAAAACAAAGGATATTGAGGGAAAAATGTGACAATTATTAAAGGAACAATGCGTTTTTGTTTTGTATTTTTGTTTTTGTTTTTTTATTTTTCACAGTTCGAAGCATATAAGCGGATACGAAACACGTGCATGTTTGAATGCGGATTTAAGGATATTTTGGTGTCTGATTTTACTTAATTTTATTTATTAAATATTTGGATTTTATTAAACATTATTTATTTATATTTGGATTTTATTTAATTTTTCTATTAAGATTAATTAAATTCTATTAAGATAATTTTAATTTAAAAAGTTTATAGATATTGAATTTTGCTTTGAATTCCTTAATGAACTATAAATAGGCATATTTATATGAAAACAAGTCTGCTTTAACTTCAAACTACAGTTTAATTGAAATATTTTCAAAACATGAACCATATTGAGAAAATTGTTGAGAAAATTTTGACAAAAGTCAGTATAAGGAAATATTTTGTATTATACAAAAACACTATAAAACACTATTAATAGCCAGTAGTTAATTAGTGAAGTTTCTTAAATTGATTGATTGCACTAAAATCTTGAGAACACATTAAACAGAATTTTCAATTAAAAATTCCAAAATTCACGATTTCAAAAATCATTATATAACTCGCTTTTTATACCCTGCACTTCGTGAAGGGTATATTAACTTCGGTATGGAGTTTGTAACTACTTGAAGGAGTCATCTGCGGTATGGACATATATATATATTCTTGCTCAGCGTAAAATTCTGCGTCGATTTAGACATGTCCGTCTGTCCGTCCGTCTGTCCGTCCGTCCGTCCGATCGCACGATAACTCAAAAACGAATAATGCAATCGACACCAAACTTTCACAAGTTTTTTCTTTTGTGCCAAGGACGAGCCCTATTGTTATTGGACTAATTCGGACAACGGGTTCGGGTAGCTGCCATACAACTCAAAGAGTTTATTTTAAATATTTCAAAAACTAATAAAGCTATAAATATAAAATTTTTTATACATTTGTCCAATTATATTCTACACATGCTCTAAAAATTATAATGGAATAGCTGCACCGGTTCGGGTGGCTACCATACAACTCCAACAGCAAATTTTTTATATTCGGAAAAATAATAAAGTTATATTCATGAAACTTGGCAGTCATGTGTCCAATTATAGGTCAAATATATTTCAGAAGTTTTAGAGGAATTGCTTGACAGGTTCGGGTACTTGCCATACAACTCCAGAGGCTAATTTTAAATATTCGGAAAAATAATATAGTCAGATACATGAAACTTGACAGTTATGTGTCGATTTATAGGCCAGATATATTTCTGAAGTTTTGGTGGAATTGCTTGGCAGGTTCGAGTAGCTCCCATACAAGTCTAAAAGCTTATTTTAAATATTTGGAAAAATAATAAAGTCATATTCATGAAACTTGGCAGTCATGTGTCCAATTATAGGTCAAATATATTTCTGAAGTTTTGATGGAATTGCTTGACAGGTTCGGGTACTTGCCATACAACTCCAAAAGCTTATTTTAAATATTTGGAAAAATAATAAAGTCAGATTCATGAAACTTGGCAGTTGTGTGTCGAGTTATAGGTCAGATATATATCTGAAGTTTTGGATGAATTGCTCTACAGCTACAAGTAGCTCCCATACAAGTCCAAAAGTTTAAATATTTGGAAAAATTATAAGGTCAGATTCATGAAACTTGGCAGTCGGATGTCCAATTATAGGTCAAACATGACCGTGAAGTTTCTATAGAATGATTTCACAAGTTCGAGTAATTACTACACAACAACGAAAGGTGCAGGGTATAATTCAATCGGTTTATACCGACTGAAGTGTTTTTACTTGATTAATGTTAACTTGAAATATTAAAATTATGAGGGTTTTTTTTCGGTACAATTAGGAAAAATAAAAATTTTTTTATCAGTTCGAAATATAAAATAATTTTGCATATATTTAGGCTAAGAGAAAAAATTTCAATTAAACCATTTAAAAAGGTAGCCATAATCTTATTAATTTTTGTTGTTCCAAATTAAAAATCAGAAAACTCTTTCTTCTATAAAAAATCTACGAAGCGCAAAAATTAGTAATTATGTTGTTTTATTGTGCATGTTTTTTTATGGAAAGATTTTTTTTTTTGCTTTTGTGGTTCTTTTTCATTGAAATATCTTAAAAATTTATCTTTCCTTATTAAAGGAGAAGAGAAAATTTTCAAATATACAGAAAAAACACCTTTTCAAAGTTAACCTTTTCTATTGCTACTACTATTATTTATTTTTTTTTTCTGTAAAGATTTTTTAAAACAAAAATTAATAACAATATTAATTTTTTATTTTACTTATGACTAAAGAAAAAGGATGAAATGATGGCCACCCTATGTAGTAAATTTATTATGTAAATTTATGTTTAAGGATTTGAAAAATATGATTAACCCTTGTAGGTTCAATTAAAATAAATAAATGAAAGAAAACAAGGGTATCGAATAAATTCGAATATTTTTTAGAAAATGAATAGCAAATTTTTTTTTTTAATATTCATGTTTTTCTAAAGTAAATTGCTAGTAAAAATACTTAAAATTATTATTCATAAAAAATTTTAAATGTGAATGGGATTTAATTAATTATTTAAAAATTGCTTTCTACAAGACCAAATAAATTATTCTTTAATAACAAATTAATTTTAATACAAAAATGTTAATTAACTTGTCAAGTAACATATTAAGGGAATTAAATTGGGAATTCTATGAATAGTTTTTAATACAAAATTATGCTAAAATGAAAAATAACTTACGAGTATGAATTTTAAATCAAGTTATGAATTTTTCTGAAAGTTTTCTAATAGGTTGGTGTGTAAACAAATTTTAACAATACTCTAAGTAGAAAAGTAAAAAAATGTTTATCGAAAACAAAGATACCACAAAATAGAAGTAGACTTCTATTTGCAAAGCTGCAACAACCTACTCCAAAAAAGAACCTTTGTCTCCAAATTCATTTTTCATCAACTATTTTAAATAATGTGTATTTATTCTAGAAATTGACAACTTCGAAATCTAAATCAATAAAAATTAATGCAGCTCACTTAAAAACCGAAAAGGAATAAGTAAAATTGAAGGAATACTTTTTACTTTCAAAACTACTTCCTCTCCAAAGCCATTTATATTTCCTTTTTTTTTAGTTGCGTTAAAAATTAAGTATACAAAACAAAATGCTGTTTGCCTTGTTCTTAAATTTATGAGTTGCCTTCCTTCCATTTTACCACATTATGGCAAAATTTCAATTCCTTTTTATGTTATATAAAAAAGGGGAACGGAAGTAATTCATTCATTGGAATTGTTTTACGTTTTTACGACTTTTTTCTGTGGTATTTTTCCTTAATACCTTGTAAATTGTTCAAACTATATAATAGTCTTAAGAAAACATTATATAACTTGGGGTAGAAAAAAAAAACATAAAATTAATTTATGAAAAATAAGAAATTGTGGAAATGAATAATGATTATATAAAAAAACAAAATCACTTTTAAAGAAACACACAAAAAAATAAATTCACCTTATTCGAAGGTGTCCTTTATTTTTCTTTCTTACTTTTTTTTGTGAAATTTTAACAACAAATACATTTACAATAACAAAACGGAAAACGAAGAAGAAGAATTTGAATAAAATTAATTAAATTTTGTAACCGTGTTGATATTATATAAGTTCTCGCAACACTTAATATAAAAATAAAACGGACTAACGCAGAATTTGGTTTTTTGTTTTTTTTTGAAGGATTCTAAGAAAAAATTTTAGTGTTATTCTTTTTGTTGTTCTTGCTGTTGGGTTGTAGTATTTTAATTGTTGTCTAGCGTAATATTGTAATGAAAATTGGAAAAGGGAGAAGAAATTTAATAAAATAATAAAATAAGTTGTTGCCGTTGGAATCAAATAAACAAATTAATGACAGAACATTTTTTTATTGTTATTCTTCAATTTTTGAATTTCTTGTTGAAATTTAATTGTTAAAATAAAATAAGAAAAAATAAAGGAAGACAAAAAAATAATATAATGAAAGGCAATTAAGGATATAAACGGTAAAGTTACATTTTTGTAATAGCATAATTTTTTAAAACAAAAAAAAGAAAGCAGACGAAGAAAAAAAATTAATTAATGTGAAGCCGGATTTTGAAGATTTTTGTTTTCATTAAACTTATTGTAATTTTAAGTGTCGACATCTCTTCACTGAAATTTTATTGAAATCATAGGAAATTGAGAATACGATATTGTAAATTTAAATTTCGGTAAACATTTATTGTTACAATGGAATTTATATTAGATGAAGTTGATAACCGCGACACGATTGACGACACAATACATAAGTTCTTGAAACAAATATGAAAATTTATTCTTGATAATAAAATTTCTATTAGTGCGACCACGCTAAGTTTTAGCTTTTTCCGTACTCTACGCGGTATCCAAGAAGGGCGTCTCTCTGCCTTTTCAAGCAATGAACAACATGCTATAAAGATTGCATATTACGCATAATAAATCAATTTCTTGTATAACTTGATCATGCTAAATGGGAGATAAGTCATAGAATTTTCGAGTAAATTTTCAAGTAAAATTTATTTTTTAAATTTTTCGTCCCTATTCTCCGGCGTGCATTGCAAATTCTTACTTTGCATTATCTGTATTGCTACATAAGTCACGATATTCAACACTTTTAATACCGTATTATTGAATTTCTGAAGTCAGAATTTGTCCCAATTTACGCTGTTACACATTATATAAAACCCTATGTATATCAAAATACAGAAATATTAA